CCTGAGCAGTGGTGCCAGCTGTGCCCAGGAGCAGAGATTGCTCCAGGACCGCAGCTCAGCCACCAGCACAGTGTCTGACTCGCAGTCATGGTGTAACCCCTGTGGGCAGGGTGTGTCACCCGTGGCTGCTGTGTGCAAAAGGAGTGGTGCCAGGGCTTGGTACCCCAAGCATCCAGCCTGCCATTGGCTGTGTTACTGCAGCTATTGGCAGTCAGGCTGTGACCACCTTGCTTGCCTCAGGGGCAACATCCCTGGGCACAGGCAGTGGAGCTGGGGCATTGGGGTGCCTCAGCAACCCCTGTTCCTACCTGCTGCTGGACAGGCTGTGAGCAGGGGGAAGTGAGTCCTCAGGGGATGGAGTGTGGTGGGGAGCATCCCATCAGCCTGCCTGCCCAATACCTGCCTGTCTGCCTGCCCAAGGCCTGCTCCAGAGTGCTCCTTCAGAGCCAGGAGCAATTTGTAGAGCCAGGAGGAAGCCCCAGACAGTGCCAGCTGGCAGAGGAATTGCTGGGAGGGCCAGCAGGTTGCAGGCAGGGCCCACAGCAGCTCCCACATCACCTGGCTGGAGGAGAAGGATGAGGAAGAGGAGGAGAGTGACCTTGGAGTGGAGCTGGCAGACACAACACCACTGCAGGCCCCATGGGGGTTGCTGCCACTGCTGGGGCTCTGTCACACCCTCGCCATGGCCTTTCCTCAGCCACAGTCATGTGCCAGTGTGCAGGGGCTCAGTGTGGGAGGGAGACCTGCATCCCTGTTCCCCAGACACCCCAATATACCCCCATGCCCTGGCTTAGGGCCGTTGTCCCACCAGGGGCATATCCTGCTGCCATAGGGGCACTGGACCCCAGTGGTCCCAGGCAGGTTGCTGTGGTGGGCAGGTGTTACTGGTGCAGGGATTGTGAGCACTCACACCAGTGCTCAGCACTACTTAATTGTCTTCTTACATTCACTTTTATCTCTCTGTCTGCGGCAGTGATGCATTGAGGGCAGTCCCTGCTTCCCAGCCACCCAAATGTCCTCCTTGGGTTTGTTTTTGTTTCTTTTTCACCTGTGTGTTTTGGCACGAATGTGGAAGAGCTGCTTTGCTCAGGCTGTGACTGCCAGCAGCTCCAGGCCCTGCCCAGGCACCCCCTGTCACAAATATTCTGCTGTCCTTGGGGATGGGGGATTGTGCTCAGCTTTCCCCCACGGATAACACATCCAGGGGCCATGGACACACCTTGCAGTTCGCACACCCGCATTTCCTCCTGGGCACAGGTCTGTTCCCATTTACGTGTGTCCCTAGCTTATGCCCACCCATACCTGTGCTGGCTGCAGGGTGTCCAGTGCACCTGCTGGCCTTGGGCTCAGCTCCTGTCTGGGATCCTGCCTGCAGGGAGCCACTCACCTCCTCCAGCACTGGCAGCTCGGCACAGCCCTCAGCTTGGTTTAAGGAGTTACCTCAGCTGGGCTGGGCTGGGCTCACTGCCCACCTGCACAGGAGCTGCGTGCCATGGCAGGGGAGTGACACAAGTTGGGGCATCCCCCTCCTCCCAGTACCCCATGTCATTGCTCGCTCCTCTGGTCTGTACCATCCCACAGACAGGTCTGTGCTGCCCTTGCATCCCCGTCCTTCAGGATCCCAGCTTGAATCCCTCCTGACCGTCCCACCTGTGGGCTGGCCTTGTTGGGCTGCACTGATGCCAAGCAGGGGTTGTGGTTGGGGTGGGGGCATCCCAAATTCTCCCAGGTTTGACATCAGCCTCACAAGTGCAGAGACAAGGTGGGGCAGCTGCAGTGGGCATGCTGGCACTGGTAAGGGTGGGTGGCATGGTGGTGACACAGCCACAACTGGGTGGAATGTGCTGGGGCACAGTCAGGACCCATGTTCTGTGCCAGTCCCAGTACCTGCCTTTGGGTGAACCCGTGCCCAGGGCACTGGGGAGCCAAGGGGTGGTGGGAAGGGTCGGGTACACCCCAACATGGGAGCTGGACCCCACCACCTGCCTGCTTGAGAATGGACAGATGGCACCTACCCCCCCGGGCATGTGTGGGTGTGCAGGGCTGGGGCAGCATGGGGGGCAAGGTGTGACAACCCCCCAGGGTGACAGTGGTCAGGGCTGGAGATGCCCCCGTGGCACCTGAGTTCTGGCACATGCAGCACTCAGTCCCTGTCATGTAGCGTGGCACTGAGGTGCCCACTCCCACCAGCACAAGGCTCTCACTGCTGGGCTTTGAGGTGGGCTCAGAGAGTGGCAAAGCTCCATGGGCCCCCTCAGCCCACAGGGTGCCCACGCAGTGATGCCAGCTCACCATCCACTGACTGGTGACACATGGGGAGCTCTGAATTGCAGCCTGTGACAGCTGGGCAAGCACAGCTCATTCCTCAAACAGAGATAACAGGCTTCGCTGGGATCCAGGCTAGGCTTTATTTATTTACCTGGTTGCTGGACTCTGGCTTGGGGCTTGTGTTCTGGCTTGTGCCCCCATAGCCCCTCCCACTCCCCAGGGTGGCTCTGAGGGTGTTGTAGAGGTCTGGCACTGCAGGGTGACTTTACTCTGGGGTGGCTTACTCTGCTAGTCACCAGCTTTTGGCAGCACCTGTTTTGGGGAAAAATGTGTCCATGAACCTGTGACACAGGCAGGGGTGCTCTGTGTCCCTCCCAGTGACCCACGGGGCTGTGGCATGTCCCCAGCCTGGGGCTGTGCAGTGCCACAACTTCCTCCTGCCCCGCATGTTTAAACAGAACGGCCTTGAGAGTAACCCCAGAGAGGTGCAGCCAGTAACCAAGGCCAATTTCTGTGCTTGACCACCTGATTATTTTCCCATTAAGCACTAATTGCCCCAAGCCACCTGGCTGAGGCCCACGGCAACCCCAGGGAGCACACCCAGCTCCCATGGGCAGAGTGGGCTCTGCCTCCCACCTTGAATGAACACCCTCCAGGTTGCTGTGCCTGGTGTGGGGTTCAGCCAGCCCTAAAACTGCAGCTGCTGCAGGAGAAACCTCTACAGTGAGGGCAGCTCGGCCCTTGACACTGCCAGCTGGGAGGAGAAGTGATGAGTGCCTCGGGGGGTGCAGTAGGGAGCAGGCTGGGGGCCATTAGGTGCGGTTGCACCCTCTGGTGAGCAGTTTGATGGTGAAATATGGCCATGCAGAGGGATGGGTTGCTGTGGGTGGCATATCCCACTCATGGCTTTGGGGTGACATCCCTCCTTGTGCCCTTACTGAGGGAGCAGAACTGTCATGATTCATGTCTTGGCTGTTCTACCTTGTTGCAGGACTCTCCAGTGCGCACAGGGTGGTGCCTCCCTTGGCCCCGCTGTGCTGCAGCAATGGGGATCAGGACAGCCCTGTTGGGGTGCCCCTCCTCTTGGGGTGCTCAGTGCCAGGACTGCCTCCCAGTGTTGCCATCCCCGGGGTGCGGGACAGGCGGGTGTGTTGCTGGTGCCAGTGTGGGTGGCGAGGGCTGGCAGGGCTGGCTCGGGGTGCGTGGGCTGGTGCTGGGAGCCAGCTCCTGCCGTGACTCATCGCCAGGCCGGGGGCGGCCGCCTGGCCCTGCTCCCACTGCGGCCCCACAGTCCTGCTGCCTTCCCAGTGCTGCCTGCAGGAACACTGTAAGCATGGCCACCCGTGGCAAGGTGAGGGGCAGGGTAGGGCAGCTGTGTGCTGTGCCCCCATCCAGCTCTGCCTCCCTATGCACTCCCTATTCAGCTGCACCCCTCCTCCAGCTGTGCCCCCTCTAGCTGCACAGCCCCATCCAGCTGTGCTATCGCTGCCTCCCATCCAGCTGTGCCCAGCCTGAGTGCTGGGCATACTAAGGGGAACCTGGTTCTGTACTGCCACCAGCTCGTGAGGGAGGGACACTCATGCTCGTGCTGTGGCGGGACTATTCTCAAAGAACAGTATCGAACTTTGTTGCCTTCCTTCATTCAGTGCTATTCTGTTGTTTTTCCAAGCCTTCTTTAAATAATGTGCGACTTAAAAATGTATGTTATTTAAATCTCTTACTGAGACAAGGCACTGCAGTAAGGAAAGAGGGATGGCTCGTCCCTTCCAGGCCCCCAGTGTGTCCCTGCAGCCCCCTGCTGAAGGTGACACCTGAATCCTGGCCCTACATGTCACTGTCCTGTCTGGTCACAGTTCCTCCCTCCAGCTCTGCACATGGTTTGCCACCATCACCCAGTCCAGGACTCAGCTTTGTATAGGACACAGGGACTCTGTGTCCCCCCAGGAGGTCCTGCTGGCCCGAGCCTGGCTGGGGTGATGAACCAGGGTGCTCCCAGCCATGACAGCACTGCCATGGCATGATGTGTCGGGTGAGGTGGAGCCTGAGGGCTCATGCCTGTTCCCAGGGAGTGGAGATGCCCCATGACACTGCGAGGGAGGTTTGGGGTGAGGTGCTGGGAAGGATTAACTCCCTCTGCTTCCCCTGGGCAACGCTGAAGGAATGGAATCCTAATTGCCAGTGCTAGTGCTGACCTGTCACAGCCCCACTGAGGCTTTGGGGCATTGATTTGGGACTATTGGTTTGACAGTCACCACGTGAGCTTCAGTCTGTGCTGGTTGGATTTCAGTCCCTGTGTGGGGCAGGCTGGGGTAGGAGACCCTGGTCACTGCCAGCTCTGTGGGGCTCAGGGTGTCCTGTAGCACAGCCTGCCATGAGATGGTGACAACCCTGAGGCTGGGGACCTGTATGGGAGTATGGACACTGGCTGCCCTTCCCTGAGGCAGCAAACTTGCAGGTCATGGAATCACAGACTATCTCAAGTTGGAAGGGACCCTTAAAGATCATTGAGTCCAACTCCTCGATCATTAAGCTTGTGATTAATTGCAGCTGGTAATAGCTTTCTGGAGGCAAAGCAGGGCCAAGGGGTGGCTCTGGTGAAGGCTGTCCATACCTGGGAGCTGCAGCGGGAGCATCCCAAGGCAGCTGGATCCCATTCCAAGAGGCCATGGACAGACCTGGAGGCACATTTGACCCCTCCCCTCCTCCTGAGCTCTTTTCTCCTGTCCCCACAGCAGTGTCCTGTCCCCGGAGCCTGGACTGTGCCCTGCAGCGCCGAGAGTTCTGCCCACCGGGGTCAGGTGCCTGTGGGCCCTGCCTGCCCCCCTTCCAGGAGGACGACCACGGGCGCTGTGTCCAGAAGCAGTTCTCACCCAGTGGTAGGTTCACCCACCCTGCAGCAGTGCCTTCACCCCCTGCCTGCACACCTGCCCCTCACCTGTGCAGCTGTGGGAGGTTCTGTGCCTCAGGGCAGCACCCCATCCTCTGCTCTCTCCTCTCCATGGCAGCTGTATCCCTGTGGGGATGGCTGCTCTGCTCCCTCTCACCCCGCTCACCGCAGCTGGAGGCTGGTTTTGGGGTTGGCAAGGACCCCACTCTGCTCCACATGCATCCTCCTTGGGTGACTGTGTGTGACCTGGCCAGCACCTCGTGGTCCCAGGACCGCTGGGTACAGGAGGGGGCCAGGCGGCTTCCGGGGCTCTCTGGGGTCTTGCCTGGCTGTTCCTGGGTGCAGGCTCTGCAGGAGCAGGGAGGCAGTTTTCAGCACACAGAGCTGTGACTTGTGCTAACCCTGTGGTCGAGACAAACGGGTGCCCACGGCCTCATCTGTCCCAGGGCTGAGTTGAGACACTGGCCTGTGGTTCAGGGCTGCTGCCTCCTCCTTGGGTGATGCCCAGCACCCGTGCCAGGAGGGCTGGGGTCGGCAGCCCCAGGCAGGACTGTGCCTGCCTGTGCACCAGGGTGCCAAAGGCTTTGCAGGGTATTATTCCTGGATCCTTTCCCGAGGGATATGAGGGGCTGTGACCGCCTGGATGGCTGCACTGTGCCAGTGGGCATAGAGACAGGCAGGCATGGTCACCCATCCCACTGCTGCTGCAGTAGGTGGAGGGTGCTCCTGGTGCAGCCATGGCACTTGTGCCCCAGTTCGGCTGCAAAGACAGTGCCAGGCACAGGCATTTTTTAGCATGACCCTCAACTCTTCATACTGCTTGGAAAGCTGTGGCAGAGCTGTTTCTCTGCCCCCTTGTCGTGGGGTTTTATGCAGGTTCAACACACAGGTGAATTAAGACCATAATTAGGGTTCCACACAATTTTTTTTCCTATAACTATAGTGGAGCAACCTCTGTGTCTGGGGAAGAGGCCAGGACTGGCCATGCCCTTGGGCTGCTCCTGGTGTGTTCTGGAGACCATCTGGATGCAGGGTGGCAGCTCTGGAGCACCTCTGAACCACCTCCTGCTGCAGAGCATATTAGCATCTCCCCCTAGCCTGCTCTTCTCCATCTACTGTTCGCTCCTGCTGCCCCCAAAAGCCGACTGCTAAGGGGGTCCCAAGTCCTGGGGAGCTTCCAAAAACATGCAGGGTGGCTTGTCCTGTGCCAGGCAGGATGTGCTAATCACTGACCCAGAGAGGCAGCTCCCCTGGCATTTGAGTTCCATGCAGACATGGAGGGGTCCTCTGGGTTTTAGGGGATTGCTTTATGTTCTTGAGCACATTCGCGGTCCTGTCAGAGGGCAGCCAGAGCTGCTCTTTGCCCACAGCTCAGCCTGGGTAGGCACATGGGGGTGTGGCAGGAGGATCAACCTGTAAATCAGAAGGGAGAACCCAAAATAAGGCCCTTTGGCTGAAATGGGAGTGACGGCTGGAGGGGTTGAGAGGGGATGGCACAGGGATGGGGTCCAGGCTTGGCATTTGACAGCAATCAGGGTCCATCCCCCTTGCCATGGGCTCCTTATCCACAAGTATCAAATGGCTTTGGTAGTTGTTCATATTTTATTTTTTAATATGAAGTCTTGGGAGCAAATTCCCCTTTCAGAAGGGCTGCACATGCGCTGGCATCTCCATAGCAACCCAAATCCTTTCTGAAGAACGCAGCCACAGTTGCATCTTCACCCAGAGAGATGCAGGACCACGGTACCATCCTCTGAGGACCCATCCTGGGAGGATAGTGACCATCTGGGTCTCTCCCAACCCCATTCTGTTGTCCCACACAATGCCACTAGCTTGTGGCAGCAAAAGTGTGGGTAAGTGAAAAAGGGGGATCCCTTCCCAAATTCCTCTATTTTAGCATCCTGAGGATACCCAGCTCCTTTTGGCAGGGAGGCACCAATTTTTTTCAATTGGGGCTTTTACATCCTGCCTGTACCTTGATCTGGCAACAGCACAGGAGAAGTCTGCAAGGATGAGGAGGGGCTGTGATAGCTGCATTTTGGGGGAGATGCAAGGCAAACAGAGGGGACTGCTGTGGCTCAAAGAAGCGTAACCCTTTAAAGGGGCTGCCCCTTTGCTATGTGGTTATGCATGATACCAGGATCCCAGCTGCTGCCGGATCCTTGGCAGGAGTGTGGGCAGGAGCTGGGGATCCTCTCCCAAGAGCAGCTTTTTGGGGTAAAAAGCATCATTTGGGGTCTCAAGAGCAATGCATGTGAGTGGTGTGTTCGTGCCACTGGTGGCAGTGTGGGGAGGTCTTGACATACCCGGCATAGACAGCGTCAGCACAGAGGTGAGATGGGATGCATAGAATCTCGATGCAGTGCATCCTACAAGCTGGCTGCCTGCACATGGCTGGTGCTGTCTTTGCACAGGGGTCTGAGCCCCCCAGAATCCCGTGCACACCATGATGCTGCATGTCTGTGCTGTGATGGATTTGAGTGATGTGCCTCGGGCTGGTGGGTCCCATCCCTGCTTCTGCTTGACCAGCAAAGACCCACCAGGCTGCAGGAAGCACTTTGGGAAAAGGGGATCTCAGCTTACATATAGGGAGGTTCCCCCTTTCCCACTTGCCAGGCTGCCAGCACCAAGGAGGGCGTCAGCCACCCTGGGGCAGGACTATAGAAATCAATGGATTTGTGCCCTCCTGTGAACGCTGTCAGCCTCAAATTTCCTCTGCCCAGGGCAGAAGTCACATTTGTCTCTCCTTGGTCCCTACTGTCCCCAAACCATCACAGTAACTGGTGAGACCTCGCCATCCTGGCTGTGCTATCCTGCTGCAGGCGGTGGTGGGACCTACCATGAGAGGGCACCCACTCCCTGCACAAGCTCTGCCTGCACCTCTGAGTGCCCAGTGCATGTCCTGTGTGTCCTGTATGCCATGTTCCTGCCCTGCGTGTGTGTGCTCAGCCATACCCTGCCTGTCCTGGTCCTCCCCAGCATGCCCAACGCACTGCAGCATCTCTGCTCCTCCTGTTCCTGGGACAGTCGGGCCGGAATTGGGGCTCAGCCTGGCCCTCTGTTCCCTGTAGCAGCTCAGGGCAAGTGTCTTACCTGAGAATCAAGCTGCCAGTACCATCTTGCCTTTCTATGTCTGTATTTATCCTCCAGGGCTTTCCACAGGGGATAACCTGAATATGGGCAAAGGGAGCAGGGATAGGGATAGGGACGGGAACAGGGATAGGACAGGGATGTCTCTGCCTTTGAAATTGAGATTAATCCTGTTAAAAGCAGGAGTGAATGTCAGAGCTGGACTCTGCTCAGTGAGCCTGAGAAGAGCAGCTCCATTCCTGCTCCACACTGTCACCCTGTGGGTGGGCACCTCCAGGCTAGAGTGGGGGTCCTGCCCGTGCCTGATGCCACAGGAGCCCTCTGCAGGCTGAATGTCCCTAGTGAGCACCCATGAGATGCCACCCATGAGATGCTGGGCCAGCCCCTGGGGATACAGGATGCTCCTTGCTGCATGGGGCACCCCTACTCCCTTCCCGAAGGGGCCGCATCCTACCGGGTGGAAATCAGCCCGTCCACTGGAGCGAGGGCTCCCACATTCTGTTGGACAGCCCAGCTGAGCCCTGCTCTGGGGTGGCTCCAGGGCCCCTGGGCTGTAAAGAACAATTTGGGGTGAAAACCAGTGTTCAGGTGTCCCCTGCCTGCGACACCCTGCTGGAGCTGCCCCTCACCCCCACGGCAGTGGGGCAGCAGTGGGGTGTCTGTCCTGGTCCAGCTCTCATCCCTCCACACTCGGGGCTACTGTGAGGCCCCGGGGGCAGGACCATGAAGCAGGTCCTGCACAGCAGGTGCTTGCACCCTGCCTGCTCCCACAGGATCTGCAGGACCTGCTGCCTCTGTCACAGGGGCAGACACAGTTGCTCCTTCAGCCTCCAGTGCTGGTGGGATGAAAATTCCTCCAAAAGCAGCGAGGACAGACACGGGTCCCAGGTCCCAGCTTTGGGAGGGCTACGTCTGAGTGGGATCAGCCTCACCACCACCTGCATTTACTGGACTGGGATGCAAGCCCCTTCTTGAGGAGGCCTGGGAGTGGGCACATGGCTGCACCCTGCAGTGCCTGCCTCACGCACACTCTCCCCCACAGGACGGACCTCCATTCCCAGCTTGGAGGCAGAAATTGATTTTCTGGCAGATGTGCTGGCCAGGCAAGAGGCTCCTCGCCACCGCCCGGTGCAGGATGGCAGACCCAGGAGTAAGTGCTCTCTCCCTACTCCCAGTGGTGCCAGGGACCCCATGGCAGCCAGATCCTGCACCCCAGGCTGGGTTGCCCTCCAGAACTGCCTGGCAGTTGCTCACAGCTCTGCCTTCTCCTGCAGCCACGCTGGTGCCCGATGGCAGCAGACAGCGCCTGGCCAGCGGGCTGAGAGAAGGACGACTGCAGCCGGGTCCCACCAGCACCGCGGCAGCCGCCACCCTCCCCACCACTGCCACGGCCCAGAAGAACCCGGTGGAGGCATCCCCCATCCCTGCAAATGACAACATGGTGCTTGGTGAGACCCCGGGGACCCATGGGAAGGGGTTTCACACCCTCTCCAGGGAAGCGTGGGCTGGTGGCATTGTGCCACTGGCTCATCTGCTGTCCCTCGGTGTCCCCTCTACCTGCACAGGGCTGATCGTGGTGTGCACAGTGGCCGGGATCTCGGCGCTGATTGTGGCAGCCGTCTGCTGGTGCAGGTGAGCCGGGGCTGCCAATGCCAACCAGTCCCTTGGTGTTCCTGTGCCTGGGCAGTGTATTCCCATGCTTCCCAGGCACGAGGGGTTGGAGGAGAGGCAGTAGCTGCCCTTACCAGTCCCCCCCAGCCATGGTGTCTGCTGGCCGGGGTAGGAGGACAGTGGTGAAACATCCCCATGCCAGGTGCAGGCTCCTGGGAGTGGGTGACACCCATTGTGGGCATCGCTGTGGCACTGGGTGCTCACACTCCCAGCACATTGTTGCCTCGTACCCAGGTCCCTTGGGATGGCTGTGCATGGGGGTGCCACCTGCCATGGGTGCCATCTCAGGGAACAGGGATAGGAGTGGGAGGACTGAACCCTTCTGACGGTCACTGACTCAGGAATGGAACCATCTGCTCCCATAGCTCCCAACTTCCTCTAGGATGGACTAGAGAAGTAATTGTCCCTGTTCTGGGCACTGGTGAGGCACCTTGAATCCTGGGGTCAGTTTTGGGCCCCTCACGACAAGAAAGACATTGAGGGGCTGGATCATGTCCAGACAAGGACAGTGGAGCTGTGGAAGGGTGTGGAGCATAAGTCTCATGAGGAGCAGGTGATGGAGCTCAAGGGGGTGGGAGGGGGAGGGGAGGGGACTCAGCCTGGAGAAAAGGAGGCCTTCTCACTCTCTACAAGTCCCTGACATAGGAGCCAGGTGGGGTTGGCTCTTCTGCCAGGTAACAAGTGACAGGACAAGAGGAAATGGCCTCAAGTTGTGTCAGGGAGGTTTAGGTTGGATATTAGAAAGGGTGGTCAGGCACTGGAAGAGGCCTGCCCAAGGAGGTGGTGGAGTCACCATCCCTGAAAATGTTCAAAAAATGTGGATGTGGCACCTGGGGACATGGTTTAGTGATGAACTTGGGAGTGCTGAGTTTCTGATGGACTTGATGACTTTAGAGGGCTTTTCCAACCTTAGTGATTCAGTGATTTCGATTCCCCTCCCCGGCAGGCTGCAGAAGGAGGTCAGGCTGGCGCAGAAAGCAGACTACTCGACCCAGCGAGTGGCCAGCCCCCTGCCCTACGACAAGATCTCGGTAAGGCACGGCCCTCCCTGTGGGGTTTTTGGTGCTCTGCTGGAGGGATTCCCACACGTGTAGGCCCCCACCAGTCAGACTGGGGCACTCCAGAGCCTGACCTCCACAGCTGTTCCTGCTCTCTCTGCAGCCCGGGGACAAGACACTGGCACAGAGCGCCCAGATGTACCACTACCAGCACCAAAAGCAGCAGATGATCTCCCTGGAGAAGTAAGCAGCCCCTTATCATCCCCCTGGGCTTCACCCCCTCTCTACGTGTTCTCTCTTTAAGATGAGACTGGATGTGGCACTTAGCGCCATGGTCCAGTAACCACAGCAGTAGTGGATCAAGGGTTGGACTCGATGATCTCAGAGGTCCTTTCCAACCCCGCTGATTCTGTGATTCTCCCCCATAGGCATAAAGAGGAGCCCAAGCTGCCGGACTCTGCATCCTCTGATGAGGAGAATGAGGATGGAGACTTCACCGTGTACGAGTGCCCTGGGCTGGCTCCGGTACGCGAGAGCAGGGCAGCTGGGGGTCTCTGGGGGTCCCTGTGCATGTGGGGGGCATCCAACATGTGCCTGGGATGTGCAGTTCCTTGTAAGGACCTTTTTCCAAATGTTCTTCATCAAACCTTGTGTACTCCAGCCCCTCTGTTTCCTCCCATTGGAGCTTTCCAGTGGGCAGGAGTGTGTGTTCTGGCACGAGGCTTTTCCCTGGGAGCAGAGAGCCAGAGCAGCCCTTGGCACACCTGACCCACCATCCCCGTGTTGCCAGGGACACGGTCACCTCAGGCTTCTGAGCACCAGGACTGGAGGGGCTCATCCTAGTGCCACCCCAGCGTCTGGAGCATGGACCTGTGACCCCTCAAAGACAGGAACGTCCTCCCTGGCTGGCAGGGGACCCCGGGGAAGGGCACCTCCTAACAGCCCTGGGTACAAAGATCACAAAGGGCTACTGAGGGGCCTTTCACATGGTAATAGCTTCGAGCCCGGCCATCAGGGCCCAGATGGAGGGCCATCATTGGGTCTTTACAGGCCCATTAAAGAGCACTTGATGGCAGGGAGGAAGGCAGTCTGGACAAGGCACCCCATTCCTGCTGGGGGGCCCATCCTGGGGTCCCCAGTCTGAGCAAGGAGCCCTATTCCTGCCAGCCAGCCTGGGAATGCTGTCCTGTGATCCCCAGCCCAGCTGTGGGGGCCCATTCCACCTGGGACCTTGGGTTTTACACATCACCCCACCCCAGCACCCCCAGCCCCACCTGTCAGGGAAGCAGCACCTTTCCAGGAGTGATGAGGGTCCCGGTGGGTGTCACCCCATCGCAGTCCTCTAGGTCAGCCCCTCCTGCCTCGTCCCTGCCACGTTGGGGTTCAGACCCAAACTCCTTGGAATGGGGCAGCTGAAACCCAACTGTTTTCTGACCTCCTGCCTTTTCCTTTTCCCATCCTCCTCCCTCCACCACGGCAGACTGGAGAAATGGAAGTGAGGAACCCGCTGTTTGACGACTCCTCCTTACACCCCTCCAACCCCAAGTCGCACCAGTAACACCCCTCCAGACTCCTGCACCCGAGCTCGCTACAGACTGTGCCTGCAGCCGGGCCCGGCGGGGCGGCCGTGCCGGAGGGGCCCCACAGCCTCTGCTGCCAGACTGTTCGACGCCTGCCCAATAAACACCCACTAACAGCTATGGGAGCGGGGATCGCCCCCGTTTCCAGCGTCCTTGTCCTCTTTGCTGCTGTGACCGCGTCCCTACCTTGCCCTTTGCTCACTGCCCTCGGGGACACGCCAACCCTACACGTGTGGGGTGGCTGCTGCTTTGGCACAGAAACTGGGGGGGCTGGGCACTGTCTCTTTGCAACTGGCTTTAAGGAGGGGGCTGCTGCCCTGGCTGCAGCTATGCTGATGTGCAGCAGCTGGGAAAGGGATGGAGAGAGGGTTAGAAAGCAGGAGAGGGCCAGGAGGGCTGGGCATGCTCATGTCTGGCATCAGGTCTGCCAGCCTGCCCAGAGCCCCTCTGCCAGGGATGGAGCAAATGGCGTCACTAAGGGCTTCGGTGCCCATTCTGCCCCCTCCTTTCCAGCCTGGGCAGCCCCTGGCAGGAGGATAGTGCTCTGGGAGCCAATGGCAGGAGCAGGAGTGGCTCAAGCAGGTGCTGGCATCACTCCCCAGGATGCTCCTTCAGGTGCTGCCCCGGGGTGCAGACAATCCCAGTGCCACTGTGGCCTGGGAGCCCGTGCCAGGCAGTGCTGGCAGAGGATGAGCTTTCTCTTACCCCAGGCCTTGGTGGGGTGAAAGCTCAGAAAAAGGGTTCAGGGTTTTGTTTTTAAGCCTGTGTGGCTGTGGGGGAGGAAGAAACAGGACTGGAGGAAGCAGGGGTGGCTGGGAGGGGTAGCCGAGGCATGGGGGCTTTGCTGTGCTACTTCAAATCTCATGGAGCCCACGCCCTGGCATTATCCCTGTGGGGTCTGGCGCTGCACACTGTGGCAGGAGACAGTCTCCAGTGCTCCATCCCACGCACCTCCTGGGCCTCAGACACCCACTGCACCCCAGTCTTACCAGTGTCCAGGCTCGCCAGCCCTCACCAACACATCCCTGCTCGGAGCCCAGTGCTGCTCCCCAAAGCCTCCCTGGTACATTGGGCGTGACCCCTCCAACAGAAGGCCCAGGACAGAGTTTGAGTTACTTTGCACAGATGTGGCTTCAGACCCTGTTATGGTCTGTCATGACCACAGGTGACCTGCTGCATGGGGGTGACCTCTTGCACTCAGGGAAGCCATTGCATGCTCAGGCAGGGCAGGCAGCAGTGGCAGGGACGTGCCGGTGAGCGGTGGTGGCATAGAACTGTTCCTGGCCCTGGTAAGGTGGCTGACGGAGCCTGTCTCAGCACAGACTCTGTCCCCGTGTCCTGCCCTGCCCCTCCCCACGGGCTGCTGCCCCTCTCCCCACACCTCTCATTGTTGTTGTATGAATTGTAGTTCTTTAAAAGATTTTATTAAAAGACCGTGTTTGAGACCCATGTGAGTGTGTGGTGTGGGACCCACGGCTCGGCGGGCTCCTCTCGAAGCGGGGTGTGTCAAGGAGACAGGGGAGGGAGCATGCTGTGGGTCCCCCAGCCCCAAACCTTCCCTGGGGAATAGCAAGTAGCCATCCAGCTCCTGCAGCTGGTGGAGCCTTTAAACCTTTCGCAAGGCGTTTCCCACACACGGAAAGAACTGAGGGTTATTTTCTTCTCAGTGTTTGCCAGGAGAGGTTTCCCCAGAGAAGGGTCGGGTGGGAGCCCCCGCACCCAGCCCTGAAGCACCGAGCACCCACCCTCCCCTCCGCCCCTCGATCCCAGGGCCCTTCGCACCTCGGGAATGGCAGATAAGGGCTATCGCGTCCCCGCATTGTGTGCAGCCGAGCTCCTTTGATCAGGCCAGCCCCCCCATCAGGCTGATACCATCTCTCCTGGTTTCGGCAGCCGGAGGTGGGTGCTGACTCACCGCCAAAGCACCCAGTCGGAATGCTTCTCTTATGGGTTCTCCAGCTGCAGCCCTGGATGATGCGCACCCCAAGTAACCCGAGACCCCTCCAGGGCTCAGTCCTGGGGTAACAGCCTCCCACCCCGTCTCCCGAGGTCCTCAAATTTGTCCTTTGCTCTCAGAGCTCATCAATCTCTCAGAGCATATCCAGACTTTTTGGAAGGCTCTAGCTTGGAGTAAAACCTGTCTGTTCCTTCTGGGAAGACCCCCTTACTTCTGGTACAACAGTTGCAGGACCCCTGTGTCCCCTCGGAATCCGTGTCCCCACAACATGTACAGGCACGGAAGAATCATTTGTCCGGGGCCACGGGCACCTGTGCTGCAGACATCCCAGGACACCCTGGGGCTGGGTGCAGGGTCCACGCTCAGCCCCCGCCTCAGTTTCTCCAGCTGTAACACAGCAGGGAGGACCCGCCGGTGTGTTCAGGCAGTGTGGTGGTGGTGGGGGTATGACTAATGAAAGCACGGGGTCTTTGGAAAGAGGCTCTGGGATTTTCCTCTCAGCCGGGTTTGGAAGAACCGACTCCAACCTGCCCACCCAGGCCAGCTGCAGCCCAGCAAGCTGCACTGGCAGGAAGCAGGTCAGTGTTCCTCCAGAAACGGAGCTTCTGGAGCTGAACCCCCTGCCCAGCCTTCCCTAGAAGGTCCTAGGGTGACCCCTTCATCATGGGACCCTGACCCAGCATGTGTAGGGCTGCAGACCCCTGAGGTGTGATTGCCTTCAGTGAGCAACTCAGGCACAGGGCTTCTCCATCATCTGCCAGAGGAAAGGGTGGGCTGACCATGAATAAAACATCATCTGTGGTCATCCACTCTCTTAAAATCTCATCCACAAGCCACACCAGCGCCACAACAGTACAGAGCAAAGGGAGGATGAGCAGACTTGCATCTCTGCCCCCACCCCAGCCTGCTGCCATCTCAGTGAGCCAGAAGAACAGATGCCTTTCTTTCTGTTTCCCTTTTCCTAACAGGATCTCATTGATCCCTGGCTGCCTTAGACCACAGAGCCTGGCCAAGCCTGGGGCACGAGCAGGTTCAGCCACGAGGTGATGGAAGGATGCATGCATCCTCATCCTCTGGAGCAGGCAGAGGAGACTGGTGGCCATTGGTACTCAGTGACCCCACACAATAACCAGGCAGCTCGCACAGCTCCCCCAAAATCACCCCATTGAAATGTAGGGGGGGGGGGGACACACACCGAGAAACCCCACTGACTCCCTCCACATCCCCCAGCTAAAACGATCACCGCCACAATGGGCCTCGCTCCTACAAAGGGACCGGTTCAAAGTCAACGTCTCCCTTCCCCTCTGTCTGTATATGAAAGGAGCAGGAATGCGTTTGAGGGCCGGGGGGTGGGGGGGGGCAGGGCTGGGAGGCTTCCTGGGGGGATGGAGAGAAAGAGCAGGTTGGCAGGAGGAGGGGGTCCATCCCGGGAACAATAAATCAAAGGGAAGGGGAGTTACTGCCCGGTCAAGGAGCTTCTGAAACCCTGGGCCGCAGCAGGAGCCCGGGAGGAGCAGGGCTGATGGCTGCCATCGGGGTCCCGCAGAGAGATTTCCTCCGCCCGCTGGCAGTGGGGTAGGCAGTGGGCAGGCAGTGGGCAGCAGCAGGCAGGCTGCACAGCACTGGATCCAGCATTCCGTGGGCATCACAGCCCAGGGTCCAGGTCACCCCTGGACACAACCAAATTCAGTCCCTGCTCAGGAAGGTGCCTCACCAGCTCTGGACGTGAGCCCTCACCTCCGGTCCTGCAGCCACAGGGCTCAGTAAAGGGTACACGACCCCACTGACAGGATTTTTAGCATCCTCTGTCATTTTCTTGAGGCTGCCCTCCTTCCTGGAGCAGCCGGACACAGCCAGGTTGGGCAGTCAGGCAGATGTCCTGCCGGGAGTCAGGAAGAGACATTAATTCCAGTTCATCCATTTGGCCATTTTTTTTCCTTATAGAAATATCATTAGGGGGGTTAGCTGTTCCACTTCCCCCAACATGCAGCAGTGCCACGATCTGCTGCTGGCAGCATGGATACCAGTCCTTGAATGCCAGTCCCTGCATGTCAGTCCCTGGGTACAGTCCCTTGGTGCCAGTTCCTAAATCCCACCCCCTGAGGCCTGGGGTGCCAGTCTCCGGGTGCCAGCTGTCTCGGGATCCAAAGGGAGTGCTTCACAACCAGCACTCAAGTGCCTGCCGCTAGTTCCCCCACAGCCTCATCCCCATCGCCGCGGGAGAGGCTGCTCCAGCCTATCTCCTTGGCATATCTCCAGTGCGAGACAGCAGCAGCTACCGGTAATCCGGGTTAATAAACAGGGAGCAGTCGGGACCGGGGTTGCTCCTCGCCCTGCTCTGTCTGTGGTCGGGGGGGCAGCAGTGGGGTCACCCCTCACCCTGCTCCAGTTGGGTTCAAGGAGTGCCTGCACCACCTGTGCCTGCCGTATGCAGGAGCTGGCATCAGGTATATCCAGAGGCTGATGTGATGGCAGTGTTGGGATCAGGGAAGCTCCTGGTGCTGAGCCGGGAGGGATGTAAGGGGGAAAAGCCTAGAGCTGACCCCAAAAGTGCCGTTGTGAAGGGCGGTGAGAGGGGAAAGTCCTTTAGAGAAAACATGGAGTATGCTCCATCGTGGAGCCAACAGCTTGGGCTGCGATTTCCTCCTTGGCAGCACACCCTGAGCTCTGGGGTCTCAGGCTCAGAGATGCTCCTCCACACCACAACTTTCCTCTGCAGAAAGAGGAAGAGGAGAGGGACAGCGGGAGTGTGAAAGGTCTAGGGAGGCCCAGCTCTGTCCATGCTCGTCATGGAGCCACAAGGCTCAGTCCTTAAGACCAGGTATCAAGAGAGGCAAGAGGTGATGGCCGAGATCTAGACTATCTCTGCTGCTGCACGATGGCACCGGCATCCCGGGGCCTGTCCTCTGTCCTGGGGACAAGGAGCTGCTGCGGGAGAGTGGGCTGCTCTCACACCAGCCCCTAGCCACGGTTCATGACGCTGGAGCTCCCCAAAGCCATCCCTTTCCCTGCCCAGGCCCCATAGAGCTGAGGGGTTTCCCAGGTGGGGAGACTCCGGGGCTAATGCTGCCCTAACACTGTCGCGGGACCCCTCAAGCAGCGCAGGGCCGGAGGGGTGCGAGGTTTCTCGGGAACGCCGGTATCCTCCCCCTCTCCCTGTCCCGTCGGGGCCGTCCCGTCCACCTC